ACCCAAGGCTAAGATCTTCCCTAGACCAATGTGGCTGGTGGGTTCACCTGGGACCAGTAGGTAGAGTTGTTGTACCAGATGACGCTTTGAGAACAACCTGCCACATTAGCACAGCATACAGATGGTTGGACCAAAATGCACATATGGAGCAAAGCTCTATGTGGCTCATTGGTCTAGAGCAGGGGTCTGCAACCTGCGGCTCTGGAGCCTCATGTGGCTCCTTCAAGCTTTGACCAAAACTGAAATAAAACTGCATTTTATTGGTTGCTATAATAACAACTAAAATGACTAGTTTTAACAGTTTTCCTGTAATCTATTTTGCAAATATATGAATACTAAAAACATTACAAGGAGTAAAACATACGTTAAATTCAGACAAGACAGAGGTTGTGGTTTTTGGACCTGAGGATGTTCAGAATAAACTTTGCAGCGTTTCACTTCCTCTGGATGGCATTAATTTGGCCTCCAGTTCTAATGTCAAAAACCTTGGTGCTATTTTGGATCAGGATGTCTTTTAACCCACACAATGAAAAAAGTTATCAGGACCTCTTTCCTCCACCTGCATAATATCATTAAAGTTAGTGCAGTGAATTATTGCAGAGAAACATCAGATGGTCATCTGGGATCAGTAGTTGTTGATGGGCTTGTCCGGGACTCGAACCCAAGACATCTCACATTTGACATCCGGATCTTCCCTAGAGACCAAAAAGCCTTTTATCTGTGACCAGCATGTGGTGCTGTTGGACCAGATAACACTCTGAGAACATTCTGCCACATCAGCAGCACAGCATACAGATGTTTGGAGTAAAACACAAGTGGAACAGCAGTACTTGTGGCTCGTTGGTCTAGGGGCATGATTCTCGCTTAGGGTGCGAGAGGTCCCGGGTTCAAATCCCGGACGAGCCCTTTTCTCTCTCCTTTTAGGCTCTGACCCTGAACATCTCCTCTTGGTTTATCTGAATTAATGGTTTTAGGTCTGCCTGTATCTAAATGACCCTCACCACAGAGGTGAAGCCCAGGCTGTAAGGTGAACGCTGTTACTCAATGCACAGGTGAGACCCAACATGCTTGGAAATAAAGAATAATGTACGTGATGGTAATGAAGTGCTGGACGAGGCCTGATGAAACCCACGAGCAACCCTACATGCCCTGTGTTCTTTTCAGGGTGTACCCTGCTACCCAAAGGTTTTGAGGATGTAGTTAAATTGTAGCCAGGGTTACTGAGCTTTTACTTCTATCTGACACAGTGAAACATCTTTATCCCATCTGATGGTGACATTTACATTTCCTCACACTCTTATCTGGGATCTTCATCTGTTGATAGGCTCGTCTGGGATTTGAACCAGTGACCTCTCTCACCCGAAGTGAAGATCATCCCTCTAAGCCTCCTCCACACATTGGATGCATTTCTTTGTACTAACGTTGCCCTCAACCTGTGTTTAAAGGTGGATCTCTGCCTTTTAGTGAAGCATCTTGTTAAACAAACAAGATGATATGGTTGATACTGCATGCTTATAAACAAAATATACATTTTTATCATTGCATAGTAGTGATATAAAAAACAAGTTTTAAAAATTTTCATTATTTTTGTGGAAATGCTACTGGAATTAGACTTAAAATGTTGCAAAGAGAAACAAAACATTAACAATAAGTGATAGTAATGATAATGGTATATAGAGCCTACCAGACCTATTTTACATATTACACATATTTCATTAAACCCAATATTTTCAAACCTTTTCCCCTTGGTGTGGATTGAGCTTTAACTATTCTTTTTTTTTTTTTTTTTTTCCATATCAGACCTCCACTCTGTTATCTATCTTCTGTTTGTTCATTCCTTTCTTCTAGATAACATATTTATATTATTTTTATGCACTTTCACCTGTTTGATACCTACATCCAAGGCCTGACACCTTTCTAACAAAAGATTGAAATACATTAAGTAAATAAATGAAAATATATACATATATGTAAATATTTATACATACATCTATGTATATACTTCATGATAAACTATATTTAAAGGTAAGTTTGTCAATTTTTCACATTAATAAGTGTTACTCTTTTTGATGAACGGTTAGCCAAGGATGAATTTGTAGCTCTAAACATATGTTGCACAATTTCCAAACCATGTCAACTTTGACATATGTTTGACTTTTTAAATTTAGATAACTGAGCTACATTTCAGCATGTGACCTGGTAACTAATAATGGCAGGATAAAATGAGCCAAACGTGACTACAACATCAGAAAGTGTAAAATTACAAAAGATACAACTACATTAAAAAAAATTTGAGCTTCTGAGATGTGACCTCGTGCACATGTTTGCAGAATTTGTTTACCAGTATAAACCTCTGTTTGCCTCTTGTCTTCATAAGTGAGTTTTTTAATTTGGAGCAAAGTTAATCCCTTTATTTCCTTTTGCATAAAGTTTATTTGTCAAGCTATGGCTAAACTTGCAACTTATAAATCTGTTTTTCCACACAAACGCATCAAAATCCCATTAATTTTATGAAAAAAGTTTCAGACAATGAAAAAGCAAAACTGTCTTCATTAATAACGAGTCGTTTCATGTTGTTGTTTTTTTTTTTTTTTTTTTTGGGGGGGGGGGGGGGGGGGGGTGGGGGGTTGTGCCCTGAAAAGCAATTTTCCTTAAATTGTCAGTGTTCAAGTCACATATAATTTGTGTAAATCATGCCTCTCCTTAAGTAATTTGTTGTTTTAAGGAAGTAAACATACAGAACGCTTGGAAATTATTGGATCCAGAAAACCTGGTTTAACGATAATAGAACTAGCATGAGCAGTATTAGCATTAACAGTAATAGAACTAGCATTGGCGGTATTAGCATTAACAGTCATTGGTTACAGTGACTGGTCTGAATGACAGAATGACTATCTGCACAGAAGACTGTTGGAGTCAGTCTCCCCACCATCACAGACATCTACATCTCCAGATGCTGGAAGAGGGCCACCTGCATCATGAAGGACCCCACTCACCCAGCACACACACTTTTTGCACCGCTCCCCTCAGGAAGGAGGTTGAGGAGCATTAAGTGTAGAACCACTAGACTGAGGAACAGCTTCTACCCTGAGGCTGTTAGACTCATGAATCTCTAACCAGAATAACCACTATGAAAAAAATCACATCATGTTGCTGCTGATCTGTTTCTTGTTGCTGTGTTCATCTGCTCACAGAAACTCATGTTCGTGCTGCTGTTCGGCATAATGTTTTTATGCTATTAGTGCTTAGTGTATAGTTGATGTTTTTCTTAGTTCATATCTTAGATCTTATTACTGTTTTTCTTTTACATTTTATTGTTGGATGTAACTGGGACCCCGTGCACATAATTTCGTTCTACCACATGAACCACATGGGGTGTGAATGACAAATAAAGAACCTTGAACAGTAATAGAACTAGCATTAGCAGTATTAGCATTAACATCAGTAAATTTAGCATTAGCAGCAGTAATCACTTTATAATGTGGCTGTGTTAGTTTCGTTTTATATCATTTCTTCTATTTGTTTTTCATTTTATGATTGTCTACTGTTGTCTGTACCTTATCTGTGTTCTTTGTTTAAAACAGATCTCTCTTGTAAATGTGTCCTCAAGCCTCAATGAAACTACCCTGTATAAATAAAGTTTGAATGAATGACAAAAAATAGGCTGGTTAGTTTTTTTCTTCGTGTTTCCCAAGATTTATTTCACTTAACACTTACTTTTTTCAACCACAAGATGGCCCCAACTGCTTATGAACATAAAAAAAACCCAGGAAGCAGTTAGATAGCTTTTTTATGTTTGTAAAACCAGTCTGTAAAATACTGCTTTAGTTTTAGTCCAACTTTTACTGACTTTATAGTTAGCCTTATGGAAATGAGTGCAACACTATCTTATAATATCAGTGAAATCATCCTTCAAATCATCAACACACTAAAAGTTTGATTGTTTCATCGATTTATCTTATGAGCCCAACTGTGTGATCCAAAGCACAGTGTTTGGGTTACTTCTAAAGCAGAAAGGGCTTCTCATGGTTTCAAGAACAGATGGGTAGGACAGTAGGGGACGGTGAAGACCACCCTTATTGATCAGCCCTCACATTCCAGGAGGCGTCCTTGCCTGTAACAGGAGAGCTAAGAACACAGCAGGCCATCTTTGATGTCTATATTCAGGATGGACTCTGCTAGACATTACACACAACTGACCATGGAGATGAGCACAGTGTGATATTTTGGGAGTTACGAGCAGAAACGGTTGTAGCATACATTGTAGTGCATTAAAACATCTCAGTAATGCTGAAATTGTGACCTAATCTTTGACATTTGATGTAATAACCACAAGGAAATCATCTCAACTTCTTGTGTGTTTACACACAAGGGTTCAAGCTGTGCGACTTCCTTGATTCTTTCTTTTGGGACTTTTCCTTTTTAGGCAATGGGCTGCTGCCTCCAGGGCCCTCCTGGGATTCTGTGGGAATTCCTTTGCTGGTTTGCTTGGCAGTTGGGTTTTTAATCAAATGTTTTGGCCTGAGGAGATTGGGAAAGAAATGGTCGACAGATCTGTGTTTGTAAATATTGTTTTGCACACCCTCATTCCATTGCTCAGCTCTAACTTAACCAAACTACTAGAACAGTGGACAGAATATTTCACCATTGCTCTGATTAATATGAGGTCATGCTTTTGTATTCTGTATGAGTCAAAGCTGAACTTTGTTTAGTAAAATTTACAGCGGCTGAAATTCCTCTCGTCACCAACAGTAAGACAAATATTTCCCTTTTTGGACATGTGGGGTTATTACGTAATTTAGGGAGCACTCGGATATCTAGCAAACTCTGCTGTGTGAAACGGGAGGCGCTAATGCTGAGCGACACTCCAAACAACCAATCAGATGCGAGACAACTTATCTTGCCGCTCTCTGATTGGTCTACGTTAAGTGACGTTAAGATTGCTCGCGCTCACTCGCTGTCTGGACTGGGTCTTCTTTTTTTTTTTTTTCTTTCCCTCCTCCACATTGATGGTTTCACGCGAGTAGTAGAAGTCTTCCCACTGTCCTCGGAAGAGAAGCGTTCTGGGTCGTTTCAGGCTCCTCTGACGGAAAGTTTGGAGGAACTGTCTGTGGCGGTGGGAAGTTTGTGAGGATAGTAAACTAAAAGCTGCCACCATGCCGGTTTTTCACACGAAGACGATAGAAAGTATCCTGGAGCCGGTGGCTCAGCAGATATCCCATCTGGTGATAATGCACGAAGAAGGTGAAGTGGACGGGAAGGCTATCCCAGATCTGTCGGCGCCAGTGGCTGCCGTCCAGGCGGCCGTTAGTAACCTTGTTCGGGTGAGAAGTTTCTTCTTTTTCCTTCAGACTCCTTGGTTCTGTTCGGCTGAGCTCGACGGGGCGTTGTAGCCTGTCTACCTGTCGCTTTAGTCAGCGCCAATCCCAACGTTAAAACGCAACACTTTACCTGTCAGAAATATGATCAAATCGCTTTGTTTGTGTAGTAAATGTCTCTGTAGAGGAGTGTTTACTTATAAAACTTTCCTAAAGTGGGGGCAAAGGGCAGTGACGCCCTTTCTCCCCCAGTTGAAAACATGCCCTGCCTCCATAGGTTCATGTAGGCACGGCTGCTGGCATGGTAGAAAAACTACGGAAGTCGATTAGGGCCATAGTGGACTCCTCTCACAGTTTACACTTAAATAAAATTATTATTATTATTATTTTTTTCACAAGTCAGATTTCAAAGTCAGAATTCTGACGCCAGTCACAAAAGTCTTAAGTTTTACTTTAAATTCAGAATAAAAAATTTTCTTCACATTTTCTGTAATCTTATTTTGTAGTTTGTACAGAAGAGGATTCCGAATTTAATCCCAGGATTCTGGAAAAAAAATCAAGATTTCCGAGAAAAATCCAGACTTCTTAAAAAAATTAATAAATCTTGGCCTTAATCCTTATTAGTGAAATCCTGCATCAGTTGTTCCGGAACATTTCGAGTCTAAACCAGACACGTAGAGCTCAGTATAACTGGTATGTATTGGTCACTTTTTGCCCCGCTCCCCTCAGGCAGAAGGTTTGAGGAGCATTAAGTTTAGAACCACTAAGCTGAGGAACAGCTTCTACCCTGAGGCTGTTAGACTCATGAATCCCTAGTCAGGATTATCACTGTGAAAAAAAAAATCTCTGTAATGCCACTTGGTTGTTGATGTGCGCTGCTGATTTATTTCATGTTGTGTTCATTCGTCCGCATCTGCTCACACAGACTCATGTTCGTGCTGCTGTTGTTTGGCACATTGTCTTGTACTATTAGTACCAAGTGTATTCTTAGTTTTAGCTTAGTTTAGCATATTTCTTAGTTCATGTCTTGGATCTTATTACAATTTGTATTTTTCTTGGATGCAACCCTGTGTACATAGTTTCGTTCCACCTCGTGTACCACGTGATGGGAATGACAATTAAGAACTGAATCCTTGAATGTTGCACAGTCTTGGCACAGATAAAGAAATGATCACATCATTCGTTTGTCTAAAGTTATAAACATTATGCTCCAGTGTGTTGTGTAATAAAAAAAAGGAGCCATTAAACATCCACAGAGGCTGGTGCCGTCCTGTTTTAGAAACCTTATTGTGCCTTAAAGTCAAAGGTCAAATTTACGACTTATTCAGTTTTCAGAATTAACCATTTTTTGTTGTTTTAACACAGACTCATTAAAAAAAACTGTTCCGACATTATTGTATGATCATCCGTAATCCTAACAATCAGATATTCTTGGCAAACAGTTTCCTTCGTTTGATACGGTTTTTTTTTAATGTTTTGCATGAAACCTAGATCCCTATGCCCTTATCTAAAATATTAATGTTATTTTTGAAAACTGGAAACCAAAACGCATTCATTTAAAATATAACTCTCTTTGAAGAGTGGAAACTAGTAATTTGACCTAATTTTTTTAAACATAGCTGCTTTTGGTGGCAAACATATTTGTACCTACTCTGTAATATAAGTATTGAAGGACTATGAAGAATGTCTTTTGAAAAACATCAAATAACCCCTGTTTGACCAAAGTACCAGTGGTTTGGGTTAGGGTTAGAGTCAAAAATAGTCTAGCCACAGCCGTGTTCCTCAGTTGTCATCATGTCAGCGTGTACAGAAATGACACTGCGTTTCCTATCTTTAACACAAAGCATGGTTATCGTTGCACTTTTTTTTTTCTAAAATGAAACAGAGTATGGCAAGACTGACAGACACTGTGGCTTGAGCAGAAAACTAAGGATACAGGCTAAATTAAAACAGACTTTTTAACAGTGTGTTGCTTCTTCTGTCAGTCTGGCCAAGCCCAAATCTCCCAGGCATTTGTTTGGTGATAAATTTGGACAATTACTCTGGCGACAGCAAAGGAATGTTTCAGTTAGTGGGCCTGCGACCCATATTCCTCCTATTTATTTATGAGGTTTTATAGTCTAAATGTTTCAAGCTTGTTCGCTTCATTCTGGGATATTTTTTCCTCAGTGCACACTCCAAAACTACAGGGTTTCACCTCATATTCACTATTATTTATGTCTACACCCACCCAGCTTCCTTCCTCCAAGGGGACAGAGAGCTGGGTAAATCGTGTGTTTTTAGTTGACGTCATTTTGACAAGCAGGCCTCTTTCACAAAAATAGAAGCTGGAAATCCGTTAACGACACTGTTAACCAATAAAGTTTTTGTAAACAAGACTACCTTTTACATTTGTTAGATTAAGATAGATGGATAGATAGGGCTGAACAATTAATTGCATTTGCAATAATATCGCGATATGATTAAACAAGATTTTCTAATCGCAAAGGCTGCAATTTGACTGGTCACGTGATCTGGTTACGTGACTTTTGAGAGAGCGAAGCAGAGCAGAGAGTGGGAGAAGTCAACACTGCGCTTTAACCGGTTGCACAATGGCGTCAAGCTTGACAGAAGCTGACACATCTGAAAGTTTGTTACTAAAGAGAGGCAGCATGTCCGTTGTTTGGAATTGTTTTTGCTATAAAAAATAAGACGCTGCAAGAACGCCAACGACCGGTGCTTCAACTTCAAGTAAGCAAAGTACCAGCCGACGGGGATCACCGACCGAACTGTTCGAAGGTATTACTCCGTATGAACAGAGTTCGAAACGGCACGCGGAAATAACTGAAGCGATAACGGAGTTCATAGCGAAAGACATGATTCCCATTAATATAGTGACCAAGCCTGGGTTTACGGCTTTGGTAAGCACAATGGATAAGAGGTACAGAATGCCCTCGCGCACACATTTGAGCCAAGTTACTTTCCTGGAGCTACACAAAAAAATGCAGAAACAGAGTTGCAGCGGAGCTGAAAACAGTGACATTTTTTGCAACTGAAACAGATTTATTGCTTGTGTTTGTTGGAAAAATACATCGCAGTACTCCATCCATCCATCCATTATCTTTACCCGTTTATTCCATTTTTGGTCACGGGGGTCGCTGGTGCCCATGTCCAGCAATCACTGTGCGAGGGGCGGGGTACACCCTGGACGGGTCGCAAGTCCATCACAGGACCACATAGAGACAAACGAGACAAACAACCATTCACTCTCTCACTCACACCTAGGGACAATTTAGAGTTATTACCAATCAGCCTAACATGCATGTTTTTGGTCTGTGGGAGGAAACCGGAGCACCCGGAGAAAACCCACGCATGCACGGAGAGAACATGCAAACTCCACCCAGAAAGGCCCCTGGACTAGGGTTTGAACCAGGGACCTTCTCGCTGAGAGGCAGCAGCTCTACCAGTTGCGCCACCGTGCTGCCCTCATCGCAATACTGAGGTAAAAAAAAAAAACCTCGCAATTAGAATATTTTCCAAAATCGTTCAGCCTTGATGGATGGATGGAATCTGAACAGAGCTGTAAAAAGGATGCTCTCTTTGTGTTGCGGATAGACAGCTAAACAGCTGACTGGATCAACAGCATCAGCAAATCTAGTTTGGAGTTTAACAAAAGTCAAACGTTATGCTGAGCATGATTTTTAGATTATGTTGCTTACACTGTTGTTTTATATTGTGTGTTTACTTTTAACATCTTTACAGCGGCATCTAAATGTTAGTTAAGCAGAGCAAAATGACACTAAATAAGTACAAACTGATTGGGGATGTGTTGCTGTTTGTGTAGATTTAGTTGAAACTCTTTGCGATTGCTTTAAATGATTCGGTCATTGCAGATTTAAATATAGAAACAGTCCGAATGAAGCTGTGGTCAGTAAATCCTGAAACACCGAAACGTCACGTCGTAGAGATGAAATGACTCAGGCTTTCTGGACAGATTTAATTATGATCAGATGTTTCTAACAGTGGCCTGAATGAACACGAGTCTGTAATCATTTCCAGTTGCTGTAGCAACAGTACAACATGGACAGTGTTATGAGATCTTGAAGTTAAACATCTGATGCAATTTGTTCCGGTTTTGGTCCCGTGAGTCATTGCAAATTCAAGGATTTGAGTTAGTCATTGCGTCATGAGTTATTGGGAAGCTTAGGGTGGCTATCTAAGTATTATTTTATTTTGCTAATAAACAGGGAGATGATAATTGTTTAAAATATTTTGAAGGTTTTGGATGAAGTAAATCTGCTGGTCTAAGTAAAATGATCACTGAACTGTCCATTGCTGTCATGAAGAGGAACGTTCACCAAAAGAAAAATGACATTATGTGTTTATTTGTTTCCAAGACAACCACATGCTGATCAGATTTTCTTTTTTCATCCCTTCTTTCTTTGACTTTGTAAAAAGAAGCGTGTGAACAGCTGATTAGGATGGATTTTGAACCGAACAGAAAATAATTTAACTAAAAATATTTCTACAAACTCTTGCATTTGAAGTGACTTCATCAAATAGTTGTAAGATTTCTTCGTTTCCAGACAGTGTTTTTTATGTGCAGACCTGTTCAACACAAGATGCAAATGTGCAAAATTTGAAATTATCCACTTGAAAGTTTAATCCTATTATTCCAGATACATAAGAGGAAAGAAAGGTGCATCATGACCCAGAAATGAAAGTTTAGCAAAACCATAAACCACATAAGTGTTGAACCAAAAGCTAGAATTCACCATCTGATATATTTTTAGTTGAGACACTGAGAGGCAGATCAATTAGAAGTGAATGTCAGGAATGTAACCTGACTCAAAGGGGGGTGGGGGGGGTTGAGCCTTTTGAATGGGGCGTCTTTGTACAAGTGAACAACTCCATCCAGGAAAACCTCAGTGTAGAAGTGAAAAGAGGAAGGTTGGCTTCATGTGAATTTGACCTACAATAAATATCTATATTTGTCAAATGTGGTCAGCTGCTGCGGGAATTATTAT